TTCGCTCTCCATTTTTTATTTATATTTTGTGTTCTCTTCTCTCTCTTTACTATCTCTACTTATCCGGCTTATTCTTATTCTTATTTACCTGCCTTCCTTTTATCTCTATTCCCTCTTTTCCCATTTTTCTCTTTCTCACTCCCTTTTCTCTATTCCAGTTTTCTATTATGCCATCACTCTTCTCTCTCTCCTCATTCTTCTATCTTTTCTGTTCCTCATTGCTCTCTTTAAGGCCGCATCTCCTCTTCTTCTTTCGTATCTCTCTTTCCTCTCTTCCTTTTCCTCGTCTCTCGCTTCTCTCTTGTATTCTCTCTATCCTATTTTCTACTTTATACATTCTTTTTTACTCTCCTTGTCTCTCTCTTTGTTGTCTCTCTTCTTACTTCTTCACTCTCGTCTCTCAACTTCTTTTGCTTTGTTGCTTTGGACGTTCTTATCGTTAGCTAGCCCCAGAGTCATCCACATGGAACCAAAGCTACCCCATTGCCATGGAGCTAACTAGGTAGTACAAGCGCTTATTTCATGTTTGCTGTCGTGGGAAGTTTTCACTGAGAGAAAGGATAGGGATAGGAAGCTGTGAAATTTCATTTGAATGTGTCTCAGTGGACAAATCAAAGTTAACGAAGCTCCGACTTTGGCTCCAGCTGCTGGAAAAACACCAGCAGCTCGGAAAAGCGCGCATGCATCGAAGAAAATTTAAAAATCAGCAGAACAACGAAAGAACAACAATAATGAAGAAGAAGTACAACGCGTAGCAACAATGCCTGTTAAAATATGATAGGCAGCACGAGCTGTCAGAGCAATGCCTGCCACACGCCCCTCGAATACCTCTTCCTTCCCTTCCCTTCGCCCAGCCAGGCAAAAGCAATTAAGTTTTCGTTCCAGCTGCAATACATAAATTTTTGACAACAAAATAAAAAATATCTAGGCTGTGCAGAGGTAGAAAGAGAGGGAGATGGTTGGTGAAAGATGAGTGGGGGTAGCGGGAGGGAAGAGGGAACTGGGCCGTTTGCTGTGTACTCCATGTACCATATCTTGATACTGGAACCTCGCTTTCAACCATTGCTGACTAGCTGTCAGTCAGTCTGGCAGACTGATATTTAAAGCAGATTTGCATAAGCTCCATTAGTCTATATCTTAACGTTAAAACCCAGTTCAATAATGAATCCAATAAACTCTTTTCGATCTGTTCGTAAAATTTTGAAACTAAGCTCTCAAATCTAGTTCATTCACATCTAGTTCAATTGAGTGAGCTGTCAGTTCACAAGTGAAGGGAAAAATCAGCTATCGAACTTAATCACTCTGAATTGGAATAGTTTTTTGCCATTTGCATTTGCATGGACATCATGCGAGGTATAGCTGGCATTTGGTAAAGGGATATGCATATTAGTTGGCTTTAACATGTGGCTTAAAGCGCTTAAACGAAAGCAAGCAGGGGCAACATCTAGTTGGCCAAGCGGGGCGAAATGTCCCTGACATGGACATGAGCAGCAGCTCGGCTGGCTAAGGAGGGAACAGCCTGGAGCTGAAGCATTCCGCTTAAGCAGACAATTTGGCAAGTGCTGGCAACGTGGCAAGAAGGTGCCACGCCCAGCGCATATAGGGCGGTTGCTGCCATTGCCGTTGTTGTTGCTGTTGCGACTATTTAACGCAGCAGCAGCAACAGCAACAACAACCGTGGCAGACTGCAGGCTGCCTTCGCGTGATTTGTGTGCGAGCGCCCTTCAAGGACACACGACGCGCAGGCGACTCTCGCAGAGTGCAGCAGGAGGGGCAGGAGAGGAAGGAGATAGGGTGAAAGGGTCTATGGTTGCATTTTACTATGTGCCATTGTGGCCATAAATTCAATGCACTTGAACTGCATGCCTCGCGAGGAGCAAATGCAGCAAGAGCATGGGAAGAGGCCAGAGAAGCAGGTTGAAGCACCGCGTCGGTGACGCAGCCGGAGACGGAGCCAAATTGAGACACAGGGTCGACATCAAAGTCAGAATCACAGCTCCAGAGTCTCACAACAACAACATTTGCGTCTGCGAGTCTCAGGGCTTCAGCACATCAGAGCATCAGAGTCAAAGAATTAGGGTCGGAGTCACAGTAACAGTCAGAGTCACAGAATATTTGAGGTCATAGTCCGGTTCCGGTTCGATGCCTGAGGCCGAGTCATAAGCCTCGTTTATGACCCCAGGGCGCAATTGCTCTTCGCTTTATGCATCGTTGTCAGCAGTTTATGCGCCGTTTGGTCATTTGCCCAAATTGTTTATGACCCAAAGGAGGCAAAGCAGCGATCCAGCAGCCACATGGCCAAAAAGGCTGAATCACATTTTTTGTATTGGCCAGGCACTTGCCAGAGCTACAAGCCATTAAAACCGAACATGGCGTACCATTTACGACAGAGCTGCCACCCTATACAATCATTTACTTAATTTCAAATTATATTTAATATTAGCTTCGAATGCTCAGCTTTTATCATTGGGCAGCAGTCTAAGTGATTGCCGGACAAGTCATCTGCGGGGAGAAGCTTATCGAATCTATGGAAAGTACTTATTGTACGAAAGCGAAGAAGAATCATACGGATTACTGATTAAGATCTTTGTATATATTATAACTCACCTCAATATATTATTATCCCAGTTTCATTCTTGAATAACAAAGCTGTATTGCGCTTGAAGACTCGTCTGCATATTTAATATTTATAGACTTTGATATACAATCCCGACCGACTATTAGACTGAGTTGAAATAACAATTTGATATCTTGATATCGTGCTAGTCGATTGATTTAGTATTGTAGTGCAATTAAAGGATGCACTGTCACTAAGAGAGAGACAACAATAGCTGTTGCTGAACTTGGTCCCGGGTGTCGCTGGGTGAGAGCGAGACGGCTAGTTATGTCGTTCGCAGCAGGGTCGCTTTGCTTTCGATGAACAAGAATACGCGATCATGATTAGAAGTTTCGAGAGTAGACGAGAAGTCACACTTGGTCAAAGACGATTGAACGAGTAAGAGCATTAAAAAGAGTTTAGCGACACACCGGGAATTCGTTGTGAACGCGCAGCTAAGATGGAAAACCAAAATGAGAAACGATCGCCCCGACATATATATGTATGTATTTATCTAACAGGCTTCTATATCTTATATAAAGAGTGTAGACTGCTCTTCCCAAATGCTGTCACCCTCAATGGAATTAAAAGATAATCATAATTAGTTTGATTAGAGTTTTTTAATTTTTATACGTTTTCAATATAGTTTTTTTTTTTTCATTTTTTCTTTATAATACTTTTTTTAATAACAACTTTTTTTTTTTTCTTTTTTTGCGTATTTTGATATTTGAACATGTTACCCCTGGAAAACACATTTCACAACAAATAAACGCTCTAGGAGAGCCTCTGCCTCTTCCGCTTGGTAAAGATCTCGTCTGGGCGCTTCCTCTTGACCGAGGCACTATTTCCAGCTACATAAACTGGATGTGGGCTGTGCTCCATAAGCATTGGTAATGGCTCAAGCACCGCGCACTCCAGCTTGAGCTTCTGGTACTCTATCTTCTCATTTGAGTTCGGTTTCATGATCCAGCGTTTGGTTAGCTAAAAGTTCTAGGTTTATAAAATCTGATTTTTACAAAATATTATTTTACATTAGAACGGGGAAAAACATTTACCGATTCGATTTCGTATTTTTGAAAAAATTAATAAAAATTTTGTTTTAGGAAAATATATAGATTTTTGTAAAATGTTTACTGTTGCTCTCGATGTGTTCTGTCGGCTGTGTCGACATATAATGAATGCTGAGAGTGAGAGCTGAGAGGCTAACTTGATCAAGGCTGATGTAATCTAAACAAAATGTTACTTAATCTGAAATTCAGGAAAGCAAAGGGAAAAGAGAATAAAAGTGAAACATCATGAGAGATAAATTGAAGGGAAAGACAGAGAGACTGGAGATAATGCACAGAGCCTTTCCTCTCATCAGAGAGATATTTCTTAAATGCCGACTCACCAATTAAATCTAGGAATAAAATTTATGTTCCAATAATACATATGTATATGGTATATATACGTTCCTCGTAAAGAAAGTTAATGAAACACATTGGACTTGCATTAAATATAATTGTTTCAATTTAATTCCCGAAATGTATTGTATATAATTGTTCGTTTAATAATTTTCGCTTTGACATTTTTTGTAGTATACGAGTATATACATATATTATATATATATACATCTGTGTATATATAAATATCTGTCTGTATAGAAAGTTCTATATATGATGCGCACAAATACATACATATATTACATATATATACGTAAATTTTGCATTTTTTTGTATTCAACTCTTTTTTAATTTTTGTCATAGAAACAAACATTTTAGTACCCTTATGGACTTTAGCTTTTACTTTTGAATTTGGAACACTTTGTCGAACGAATCTTTATCTTTAGTAGGGGTATTCTTTAGCTCCTGCACATTTTTGGTAATTTCTGCGTTCATTTATTTTTTACTTATTGTGCAAGCTCTTGTCAAATTGAACATGTGATCAATTATTTCTGTGCACTTTACAACACTGAATTATTCAATAGAGACTTATTCGCATATTCAATTTGCTGCCTGTTTGCCGAACCAATTTTTTTACAGTGATTTTTCGGAGCCAAGAAATACTTATAAATCCCTTATATATTTGCACATATGTATATATATAGGTATATACATATATAGCTCTTTTATTATGTTTGTTGTTTTTTTCTAGATTTAGTTGTAATTGTATTTAAGGTTTAATTAGTTGTTCCGCATAGTTTGCACTAGAATATAGTTAGTTTTTCACATATAAGATTCTTAAAATATGTATTTATATATATATATATAT